AAAAAAATAAAAGGTGGGGGGAAGGAAGAGGGGAGAGGAAGGAGAGATGAAGCAGCAAGAAGACCAGACATTTATAGATCTGTACTACTTTCAGAAAATGTTGAACTCAAAAACAAGTGACTTATTTTCTGCAGATAAACGTTTCAAATGTACCTCACATTATTTCCTACTCTGATGAAACTTCAGTTTTCTGGAATATAAACTACGTTTTTTAAGGAATTAGAGCTAAGAGGTTATAAGGGCTGAAACTCCAACAATTTATAAAGCAGCCAAAGTACTCCTAGTCATATCAGGGAATACAAGTCAAGGTGAGGTCAACATGTAATTGTGATGTTTGCCAACGACAGTCCAGAGCAGTTTCATAGTTTCATAGATTAAGGGTCGGAAGGGACCTAGTAGATCATCTAGCCCGACCCCCCGCCAGGGCGGGAGAACAACAAAAACCCCAAAAACAAGAAACGGGACTCAAATGAGTCCAGCCAGGTAGGCATCCAGCCTCTTCTTAAAGACCCCCAGGGTAGGGGCCAGCACCACTTCCCTTGGAAGTTGGTTCCAGCTCCTAGCTGCCCTAACTGTGAAAGTAGTGCTCAGTGTGTTTTGGTTCTATGGGATGAATGAGTAGTGTGGACTCAGGCTCACCTCAGCCTGGCCCTGCGCGCTGGGATCAGGCCCTGCACTGTACCTATGCACCCCATTTATCTCACCAGGCCATGCTGTTCAGGCAATGGGGCTCTGTATGGGTCTGGAAATTCGACAGCAGGAAAGTAGCAATTAATGCTGCTGCCCTCCTCCCCTCTAAGTTTTTGGATTCAGAGGGAGGCCTGTGGGCCAAACTACATGGCTCTGCAGATGGGATCTGGCCTTCAAACCAAGTGCCCCTTGTCCAGAGGAACATGCACTTCAAAAAGCAACTTGTTCACAATTCATTTTGTGGGCATGCACCAAAGACAGTACACCTTAGCAGGTGAAAGCACAAAGTTCTTATGGTCTCTCTCAAACACCCTTTTTTCTAAACACTGAAATGTAATTCTCCGTAGCAGATTTCAAGGCCATGCTGAGACAGATTAATAGAAGATAGTGGAAAGTGACAGCCTACACAGTAACTCAACAAAGTGAGTTTCCATCTTATTCAGAAAGATTTTTTGTGATAGGGATTTAAACTAAAAATCAATAAAATTGCCAAGCTAAAAGGGGCTGTAAATTTTTCTTAAAAGAAAAAAGAAATAAAATCATTCACTGCCTGATCAACTCACCTAAAAAGCTCCTAGTACTCTTGGCAGTTCCCAAAGAATCTAATGCATTCACTGCCAATCTGAAACTAGCCTCATCAAGCTTTGCTTGCTAAGCCAGTGGAAAAAATGAAAAATGAAGTAACTTAACAGTAGCATTCATTATCCTTTAATGCCTTTTGACCCATAGTCTTGATCTACATAACTGTACCGTGTTAAAAAAAAGGAAAAAATGGTACTATGTAACATACACACACGATTACATATTTTACTATATAGGTTTTTACATAGTAGCTTTTCTTATTTTTAACTTAGTACAGTTATGTAGATCAGACTATGGGCCAAAGGGTATGATATATATATAGGCGCGCGCACACATACACACACACGCACACACACACACCCCATTGCTGTAGGTAAATTTTTTTCAGTAAATGCCAACATTGGGGAAATGTATGTACTGGGTGAAGGGGAGAGAAATCAAAACTTTCTGTTTACATACAAATGTTCATTCTAGGATCTCCAGATGCTATGAAAACATTAACAAGATATGAAGCTCTTTCTGAACCGGTGCGCACACTGTAGAGTGGGAAAGGGGCTCAAAACAACTTACCTAGTGTACCAAAGCAGGTCACTGACAGAGCCAAGACTGAACCCAGTTTTTAATTTTCTGATATAATGATCACTTGGTGGTTAACGGGAGAAAAAACGCACAAGCCAGTCACACCAACTCACAAAAAGAAACAAGAGAACAAGAGTGGGAAAACATGCTCAGCCACATGCATGAGATACAATAAGAATCAACCTGTTCCTTCCAGCCTCCTCCTCACCTGTTCCTCCTATCCAAAACCAATGCAGGTCATCAATACAGTATCATATAACAACTATGATGCCTCCTCTTTGCTCCTGAAGCATGCTTTCCCCTACTGAATTTCCTGCTGTGATGTTTCAACTAGATCGAGGCAGGCAATTATTTAGGGCGGAGGGCCGCTTACCCAGTTTTGGCAAGCTGTCAAGGGCTGCATGGGTAACCCCACCCCTTGACAGGTACCCCACCCCCTGGTCACTATTTTGGGACCAATGTCCCAGGGTCAGCACCGGTGGGGCCCAGAGCCGGGCGCAGGCTGGCAGGGGTCTGTGGAGCCAGGCTGGGCTGCACCAGCAGGGAGAGGAGGGAGCTGGCCTAGCTCCATAGAGTCCCTGCCGGCCGGGACCCTGTACTCCTGCCACCCTGCTCTGGACCCCACCAGCACTGGCCCTGGGACACTGGTGCAGGCCCTGTGCTCCAATGCCCCCCAACCCCAGTTCCGTGGTACAGGCTGGGGGCACACAGCCCCAACCCCCTGCTTGCTGGCAGGGAAGGAGCTGGTGCAGAGTGCGGGGAAAATCAGCCCCTCCACCCGCCCGTGGCCAGCACTCCTCCTTGCTACCAGTCATAGCCCATGCGGGGCTGTCCTGAGCAGGCACTGGCAGGCCCAGGTGGGCTATGAGCAGCTGCAGTGTGGGGCAAGGGGGGGGGGGCCTGCTTTTCCACCCCTGCACTCAGCACCAGCTTGTAACCCACCCCCACTGCCAGCCTGGGCGCTGCGCTGGCTCCTGGCTCGCCTGTCGGGGCTGTGCTGCAGCAGCAGCAGCAGCAGCAGCAACTGCAGCCCCCATGCTTGCCACACTGGAAAGCATTTGCTGCTGCTGCTGCTGCCGCCACCCACCCGCAGCTCATGCTGCTGTAGGCTGCGGTCAGGCTGCCACCACTGCCCCTGGTGTGCCCAGTGCGTGAGCTCTGGGTGGGCGGCAGCAGCAGCAAGCACTGTCCACCGTGGCAAGCAGGGGGGCTGCAGCTGCTCCCATTACAGCGCACCCCCAACAGGTGAGCCCGGAGCCAGCGCATGGCCCAGGCTGGCAGCAGGGGCAGGTTACAAGCTGGTGCTGAGTGCAGGGGAAAAGTGGTGTCCCCCCCGCCAACGCTCCCCGCTGGAGCCTCTTGCAGCCTGCCTGGGGCTGCCTGTGCCTTCTCAGGACAGCCCTGCATGGGCTGCGAGCAGCTGCAGCAGGAAGCACCGGGGCAGGGGAGGGGCTATTTTTCCCCACGCTCCACACTAGCTCCTTCCCTGTCAGCAAGCAGGGGGTTGGGGCTGTGCATTGCCCCCCACCTGTACCACGGGGCTGCGGGTGGGGGCACTAGGAGTGAGCAGGTGCGGGAGCACAGGGCCCACATCAGTGTCCTGGGACCAGCGCCAGCAGGGCCCAGAGCAGGGCAGCAGGAGTACAGGATCCTGGCCGGCAGGGGCTCTATGGAGCTGGGCCAGCTCCTCCCGCTCCCTGCTGGTGCTGTGGAGCCAGGCTGGACTGACCCCTGCCAGCCTGCTCTCCGCTCTGGGCTCCACCAGTGCTGGCCCTGGGACACATATGCTGGTTCCAAGATGGTGACCAGCGGGCAGGGAACCTGTCAAGGGGTGGGGCTACCCATGCAGCCCTCGACAGCTTGCCAAAACTGGGTAAGCTGCCCTCCGCCTGAAATAACTGCCCACTCCTGATCTAGTTGAAACGTTGCAGCAGGAAATTCAGAGGTGAAAAGCATTCTTCACGAGCAAAGAGGAGGTATCATAGTTGTTATGTGACACTGTACTGATGACCCATTTTGTTTTTGGATAGGAGGAACAGGTGAGGGGGAGGCTGAAAGGAACAGCTCCTTCCCTGCCCAGGATCCTCCCCCACCTTATCTGTGGTTCTGGCGCAGGGCAGCCACATGGTCCCAGCCCAGAAGCCCCTGCTAGGGCTTCTCACTGAGGGGGTGGGGTTAGGCAGGCCCTGCGGTTGCAGGAGCCTGCTGAGGATTCCCCTGGGTCCTACTGCCCCTGATTCCTGTCATTTTTGACAGGAACCAAGGACAGATGCATTTTAAATTTTAATTTTTTTTTTTTTTTTTTTTTTTTTTTT